TTATTTCAGTTCGTAGAAAATCTGAAAGATATATGCTAGCCAACACCTAAAAAAATTTAGACTTTGTAAAAAATATCCTCTAATTTTTTTAAATTGCAAAAACAACCCTACAAATTTAAAATTTTATTAAAACATCTTAAAAATTATAAATTTTACTTATTTTAATTTAGTGAAAAATCTGAAAAACATATGCTAACAAGAAACTAAAAGTTTTTTGACTTTGGAGAAAATATCTTGTAAGTTTTAAAAATTACAAAAATACTCCTAAAAATTCAAAATTTATAGAAAATAGCTTGAAAATTTCAAACTTATAAACACACTAAAAACCTACAAATAACATAAACAACTTCCAAAATTTTATGGAATTTGCAATAAACACTTTAAACTTTTTACAATTTGTAAAATAAAACACTCAAAATTATAAAATTTATAAAGAAACCTGATAATTTCCAACCTAAACAGTACATTAAAAATATAAAAATTACAAATACTCCTACATAATTTAAATAATTTATAGTAAACAATCCTTAAAGTTTCAAAAATTATAAACAAACTCTTAAATTTCAAATTTTACAAAAAACACCCTGAGAATTTCAAACTCGTTATTGAATTGAAAACATAGGAATTATAAATTATCTATAAATAATTTACAATATGTAGAAAAGGCCTATAAATTTAAAAAATTATAAAAAACCTAAAATTCATAATTTACAAAAAAAACACCATGAGAAATTTTAACATATAGACACTAAAATGAATATACAAAACTACTAACAACCCCTAAAAAATTAAAATTTTACAAAAAATATCATACTCTCTTTAAAAGTATAGGTTTAGAAAAACCTTTTCATGATCAATATTACCCATAGATTTTTTTTGAAAAGAACATAACTAATTAAAATTCTATTAAATTTAAATTTTAAAAAACACCCTTAAAGTTTAGTACATTGCAAATTACCCCTCCAAAGTTTAAAATTTTTAATAATTTTCTTGTAATTTCTTGATTTAACGTAATGTTTAATAATTTTGTGTATTTTTAAATTACAAAATTTTAGAGTTTTTCTAATAATTATTTTAAAACTTGTAAGTGTGTTTCTTTTTTAGTTTTCTAAACTGTCATTGTATTTGCAATGTAATACATAGATACGCCAATTAATGATGATATTGAAAAGTAAGTCATTCTTAAGATGTATTAGGCCATAGTTAAGTGTGCATATTACTACTCCTGAACAGTATTATATTTAATGTGAACCCACCATATAATTTTGATTGTGGTCATCATAATTTTAATACGTTTCATTGATTGACTATATAAGTATATAGACTATAGATTACTTTACTTTCTTACATAAATTAATATTTGGCGCTTAATAATTTAAATTATTTTTATTAAATATAATATAAAGAGAAGCTCTAACAACATTTATTTATTTAATTACAAGATAATACAATCTCAATTCCTATTTCTTCTTGAGATTTATTCTATAATTACGCACATCAAATTAGTAACTAAATTAATAATTATTTATGCTTAAATTAGGATGATTGTAGTTGGTCACTCACTATGGAATTTTCATGAAGATGTATATTTTACTTTCTATAGCTATCTGTACTGCCCATGTATATTATATAAATTAGTTGTTAATTTGACATATTAAATTACTTTTCCTTTATAAAAATTTCTTCATTGACTTTTGGATTGTGTAAAACTATATCACCATCCTAGCGTAGAAAATACCTCACTATAAATGACTTCAAGCCAATGTTTGAGTTGAACTGAAATATATACTATTGTCACTATGTGTATACATTTTTAAAGAAAATCATCTCAACACTTTTTAAACAGAAGAGAATATTCTAACATCTGATATTATAAAAACTAAATATAGTCAATTGAGTGATTAGCAAAAGAAAACTTACATCAAAAAAACGTGAATAATAAGATAAAGAGAATAGGTAATGGCATTGCCAATAGCACTACTAATAGCAAACTACAATATAAAGTTAACATATTTTATGGGGCCAGACTACTGGATATAAGCATCGAGATTTCCACATTTATACTTTATAATTTATTAAAAAGGGTCATATAATCTTATATAATAAAATTGATTTAATATTGACTAATAATATCGTTACTAGGGAAAATTCTTCATGAACTAGCATGTTCTTTACGATATATAAGCTATGCACTCCAAATTTTTGTCTTTTATAGAGTAAAAAAAATTGAATACGAGCCTCTAACATTTTGCTCTCACAATAGCAAAATCTACTTGGCAGATGTGTATATTCCCGATGAGTTATATGTCCCATATACAATACAATTGCCTAGGCAAGTGAGTTATAATAGCATTTTTAATTCACATCGTTCGGGCCAATATTTGATAAGGACCTTGCATGAAAGGAAAAAAAATATATTTAGAGCACATGGCGAAATATATCATACTCTCGCTGCTCTAATTTTGTAATAAAATAATTCTTCATACTTTCAGTTTTACTTCTATGATATGGAGCATAAGGTATAAAATTGAATGAGAATATTAGATAACGTAAATATGAGTGAAACAATAACTAAAAATTAATGTTAATATGAGTCAAACCACAAGTAAAAGTTTAGTGGACATATTGTAAGTAAATTCATATGCAAAATTCCTTCGCGAATTAAATGATTACCCAGTTTTTGAAGACTTCAAGATACTAACAAATGGAGTTATTGTACTAAATCAATGTGTTTATAACTCACAAATAGTAGATCACATGGTCACAGTCTGGATTGAAGGAAACAACAATAATATTTCATTTGAGAGCGAGGTTATTGAGTTGATGATCAATCCCACAAAAAAGCTTTATTTTTTTTTTCTATTTTTATCAATTTAAATAATCATGAAATTCAATCACGTGCATTGCATGTGCATCTCCTAACTAGTTGTAAGAAAATATGTCAGTGAAGTAGCAGTTAGAAGACAGTTAACTAGGCAAGCTTTCGATGCCCTAAAAATTGTCAATTAATGCTAGCTTTTGTTGAAATTCGTATTCCCAGAAAAGAGACCTCGAGATTACCAAAATTCACATCAGAAGGGTAGTGATCTCAACCAGCTAACCCAAGAAAATAAAGTTCATTTGCTGACAAAGGGTTCGGGCCATAAGCAGGATGACTTGTGTAACCAGGATGACAAAGCAATGTGCAAATCCTTCGAGAACTTGATATTTGTAATGGAAACAGAGTAAAGAGATCATAAAAACCCTATCTACTCATATATATCCAAGCCATTAAATTAAACTGTGAACGGGTTCAAGAAATAATTAGGATAGCATGTGCAGCACCTATGGTATGTAAATGGGGTTATGATCTCACATCAACCTGACTCTAACCTGATTTGTCTGGTTAATCACTAGGTTAGGACAAAACAACCAATATGCCCACTATTAGTTAGGACCTCAGCCAGTAACTCGAACCGTCAATATTAAATAAAATAAAAAAAGAAGGATGCGGTTTCACAAATTGATTTGTGTCATAACAAATTTACTTGGGTAACATGTAACATAGAGTAGGAAGGGACTCTCTATGTCCCTTCTAACCTCATTCAGCACAAGCTAATATTTAGTTAGGAACAAAACACCCAGTTACGAAGTGAAGTGAAGTCATTATCTTGTGTGTGCATGTGCTCGCGCCATGTGGGTCGGCAACTCGACCTGCAGCTGCTCTACCGAAGTGGGATATCCATGGGCCTATCAGATTCAGATGTGAGAGATTCATCTCATCCTAATACTCTACAGGATAAGACTGGATTACACAACTCAATAACAGAATCAATTATACGTAAGCAGATATCTAAGTTACTCAAACAACTATATTTGCCTAAAGAAGAAATTTACAATACATTATTATCTCAGTGCTTTAAATGTATGCCGCCATCTCGGACATGTCGGATTTAGGGGCCAGCTGACACGATATGAAGTTTTTCAATGTGTATTGCATTTTTAGGGTTAATGTCGGATAAATCGGGGGACATGTCGGATATGTCGGGTGAATATATCGGGGGATATGTCGGCTATGTCAGCCGACTTTTCAGTCCAAAAAATTGGCTGATTTTATTTTTATTTTTATGTTCATCTAATCAAGTTTTGGTTTAAAATACTAATTGCCTTAATATTACTTCCAATGACAAAACTCAATCAATTAGGGAAAATGGAAAAAAAGCCGAAGTCGTTTCCGTAGCTCCTCCTCTCTTTCCTTCGACATCTCATTAGTCTCTTCTCCGAGTTATTCTTTCAACGTCAATATCTGACGATCTTCTCTCTTTAACCGCCACCATCGGGCTCCTCTTTTCTTACCTATTTCCTTTAAAATCAACCCTAAGCATCATAAGTTATTTACTATTTTATATGTTTAGACAATAGAATTTATCAAGTATGTTTAGATTTCAATTATGATATTTATATTACATATATGCACACCATTCAATATGGCAATCCAATATTTTTTTTCATGTCCCTCCAACATATCTTCAATTCCCGCTATCCGACATGAATTTTATCCGTCCGACATGAACCCGACCTCTGATATTTAAAACCATACATCAACTTTTATCACCAAGGCTACATTTCATATTCACAGTCGATTGATTAATAGCATCCTTGACAATTTTGTAAGTATGGTCTAAAAAATGAAGCGTCATATTAATCTTAAAGGTTCTCAGAGAACATCTCTCTTTCGTCATGCCTAAGTGTGGCCTTCCACTAGTGAATTTCAATCTATATTCTACAAGAGACGGCAATTATGACCCAAGTTGAAGACTGGCTCCCTTCCAACTAATATTTTCCCTTAGATTATGAAATTGTTGTGACTACTGCTTGAGATTCCTAGCGGTAGAAAATTTAAAGCAAGTGAATGACGCATTTCATTAAGAAGAACATGTTGCAGTGAAAATAATGTGCCACACCAAACATGCCAAAAAAGAACAACAAATATGCGCTTCATTTTAAGAACAAATATGCTCTTCGTTTTAAGTTATAGATCCACACAAGATTGTAGCAATATACAAATAAGACAGAGTTGGCTATTAACATAATACATGCATTAGAGTGACAGATAGTACGAAGCAAAAATATTCACAATAATCGATCCCATTCAGGAGAAGGCAGTAAAAAGTGTGTAGCTGTACACAAACAACACATTTGAAGCTTGAAGGAATTATCGATAAAAGAACTAAGGGTCTAGGAGGGTCTCAATCATGTATTCACTACTCACATAGATAAGCATTGCCAGTTTACAATATATTCACTCATAGATATGCTACGAGAGATACGTCTAGTTATGCCTGCTGGCTAACCATAATGGGAGGCAAAAGAGTAATACCCTAGTAACCACATCATGCATGGCCCATAGTTAAAGGGATCCTCTACCCACACACATATCGACCATCACTGCATGAATTCAGAAGCAAACAATAATCAGATATTGGCTAACAATCATTCCATATCAAGTTTAATAGAAAAATGACTCACCTCAGGATAGCAGTCTTGACGAACAACGGTCTGGTTGTCTGGATTTACATACACTGAGCAAGAAATCCTCCCCTACAAAAAAGGAGGCAGAATAAAAGATTGTTGCTTCCATATCTACAAATTTATGAGTTAAGGAGTATTAAAGCTGAGAATTTATATCAATTAATTGACATTTAGATAAATCGCTAATCATGAACATTTGATGATGTTTTAAATGTTTAAGCTTTCAGAATTGTAACGACATGATGAGAAAAATTGTAACCAAATTCAGGCCTTTTCAAAACCATATGCAGTTGGCTTTCTGTATTCTTCTTACCAAACACTCAATGAAAGGAAATGAGAATAAGACAGCATTTACACCTATCACTACCTCACTAATTGACTTCCTCATTAAGGACCGACCATATGGTTGATTGAATGATGCAGGGCATGGATAGTCTATCAAAAGATTTTAAAATCTATTAGAAAAATTTTAATTTTAGTAATATTTGATTTGATCCTATGTGATCTTCTTTTTAGTTAGGATTTCTTTAGGATTTGATTTTAAAATCTCTTTTTATTTTAGCTAGGATTTTATTTGATTGTATCTTTAAGTTTTATTAGGTTTTGATTTAATGAGGATTTTTATTTACTTGCTTAAGTGTTTAGCTGCTATAACTAAGAGATGTACAGTAATCCGCACACTATTCATCGAATGAACAGTACCCTCCTTACGATTCGTCGTGGATTTTAACCTCATTCCTCCAAGACGTCGATGATTTCTCGCCTCCCGATCGAAGCCTTCATGCCACTCCCTATCATTGAACCTCATGTACAAATTTAAAAAAAAAAACAGAAACAAAAAGTAAATGCCTAAACCATGACAAGTCACAAGGACCAAATATCAAGAAGATCACTAACAAGTGCATTAGGTAACCAAGATGGTCTCGTCTGAAACTTGCTCTTTTAGGCACTTTTTAGCTTTATGCTACTTACCCTGAAGAGTTTAATATAAACTTCCATAACAAATCATTAGTTCATTGATATAGGACAGTATCATGGAAAATTCATGGGACAGTAGGATCGACAAAAGTCAAACATGGAAAAGGATGCATTGTTGACTTCATTGCAAAGAAAAGTGAATATAGATGCATTGTTGACTTGATCGCAAGAAAAGAAAATATCCCCTAAAATCAAAAAAGCAGAGTAAGACATATAATAGATGCAAATTGCCTAGCTTGATGAGACGAATTCAACCAGATTAGCATACTCCAAAAATCTCATCAACTATACTCGTATTTAGCAGAATTTCAAGAATATTCAGCTTTTAGGTTACTTTTAGTGACAAATTTAAAGTCTTGTTAGGATTAGAAAATAAATCCGGTTTGATCTCATATTTGACCTTTTGATTTCCTCAATCATTGTCTTTTTAAAGTAGTTTTGTTATTTTTTCTATTTTTTAAGGAACTAGGTTTTATGCACGTACAATGCACGTGGTTAAATACCATGATTAAATATTTTTAATTTATTTTCTTACTAAAAATTTATTTCTCATTTCTACTTTGATTTTTTTTTTTTTTGCTTACTTATATATTTAAACTTTAGCACTGTGATTATTTATTTTCTTTAATGATTGTTTGAATGGGCTACACTAAATTTAAATTTTCATGATTGATAATTGAATTGTTAGGAAACAAATATAATCTAAAACTAATTTGAATTTTTACGTTATTTGGACCGACATGAAACAAAGCTTGGTTTAAGAAATTATAATGTTGTAAAAGTGAAAAATACTTAAAAATAGCGTTATAAAAGAAAGATGAATAATTAAAGTCAATAAACCAAGATGATTAATTAACGTGGGATAGAGCGAAACTAAAGAGAATATGAATTTTATTGCTAATCATTCATAAACTTCAGAATAAATCATAAACTAAAGATTAATGATAACTCTAGTACACTTTTATATGATAAAATCATCCACATAACCATATAAAAATACTTAAAAGAGTTGATGTGACTCCATTCTAAATATTCCTGGTTTTACTCCAAAAATTAAGCTATTCTATAAAATTCAAAAAAAATTCTTTTATTCTTTCTGTTTTGTTTTTTTATTAAGTTAAGATCAATCATTCTTTACATTTATCTTCTTCCTAAGTAATTCAAGAGTTGTGTCTTCGTTGTCTATATTGATTGTGACATCAGGTTGGAGCTAAATTTCTTGTGATGTTATTTTTCTATGAGCTCGTTCATCTTCTGTCTTCTTGTCTTACTTCACAAAGAAGTTAAATGTATTTTTGATATTCAATAGAAACTTTTAAAAATACAGACTTTGATTATTTTTGTGTTTTAATGAGATTAAATGTTAATTTCATATATATATAAATTTTGCGTTTCTAATTTATTTTTTAAATAAGGTTAGGAGTTACCTCTTTTCTCTTTGCAATGAATTTTTTTTTGTGTACATCCAATAAGAGTTTATGTTACGTTAAATAATACTATTTTTTGCTCTGTCTGTGTCATTTTCCACAAGAATTTGAACTAAATAATTGTATTTTTTATTATCAAATTGTCTTAGATTATAATGTTAATATTTAATTTTGATATGTTTATTTCATGAAGAAGGGATTAGATTATAATGTTAATATTTAATTTTGATATGTTTATTTCATGAAGAAGGGATATTACTCAACATTGGTATTACATCATTAGTGATTCTTAATTTTGATATGTTTATTTCATGAAGAAGGGATATTACTCAACATTGGTATTACATCATTAGTGATTCTATGACATTTATCATTTGGATATTCTTAATAACATCACTATCCACCTTCTTGTTGTAGCTTTTGCAAGCTAGAACCACAGTTCAACTATATTGTAAATGGTAGTTATCTTCACATTATAGGTCCAATAGCGTGTTTGTATATTGGTAGAGTATTTTTAAGTTTAATTGTGTATATTTTAGAGTAGGTCTTGTAAGAACATACCTCTTTGAATGTTTTGATGATTACATATATCAATAGTTTAAATTTGTATGGTATTTGTAAAGAGCCTTGATGGATATACTTTTATTTTAGCAGCTTATTCTGAAAGAGTCATGCATATTAGCTTTAAAGTATAATGTTTTTTCTTTATTGCATTATATAAATATTTACTTGGTTTACTTATCATTCTCTTATTTCTTCAATAAGTTGAATCTTTGGGTTGATATGTATTGTTAACATAATTTATGATGATATGTATATTTCCCATACAAAGTTGAGACAGATATAATATGAATTTTAATAAAAATTTTAGAAGTAAAATATGTTACCTTTATATTTTAAGATTTTGAAATCTGACAGTGCTATTACATGTTTATCTTTGATCGCACCTTTAAAAATTAATCATTCATTGGTAATCATATTCCCAAATAAAGTTACTTGTAGAGTCATGCCACTATATAGGAAAAAATATGAAAATTTACAAACGCTTACTATTTTTTTGTATCTTTTATGGAGAATGCTTTTTTGATTAGGACAAAGTCGTTCAATATGTTCTTCAAGAGGAACTCAGTCGGTGCTTCTTTACTAGATATAACTTTTGTCAATGTCAGTTCAAGTGATTCGTTAATATTTTCGAATTTTAGGTTTATTTCCTTCACTTCTCCATTTGAAATGAAAATAGCTTGATATTTTTTAAAGGATATCTATGAACTTTCTAATAATTTCTCTATTCATAAACTTGTTACTCCATGTCATCTCCAAATGATTTATGATCACATATCATACTCTTGAGTTATTGCAAAACATGCTTCCAGTTTTGACACATCAAATTCTATGGTGAATTAAGCAGATAATTATATAATGAGAAGCTGATTGACAAGTTGTTGAAGCTGAGGTAGGTCTGTAGCTTGAGGGAGGTATAACGGAGCTCCAAGAGGCTGTCCCTTTGGATCCGTTAACTCATTGTATTTTTTAATACCCTACAAATATTATTAATATCAGAGATGAATGTTTATACATTATAATCAATTAATGCTAACTTATTATATTATAGACTTTTTGTCAGTTTCATATAATTTAGTCTTCAATCAATTTATGTTATTAGTAAAATTATATGCAGTTCCTTAAATTTATATAGCAACATTATTTTTTAATCTATCATATATTTTTTAAATTTCTACTCCTTAACTGAATAGCTTTAATTTATTATAATTGCTATTTTTTATCAGTATTAACTTAGACTACTTTAGATACTGAAAAGAATGATAAACTTTAAATTGATAGTTAAATTTATATATCTTAATAAAAGAATATCAAACATTTACTCTTTTCTTTGCCAAATTTTAGCCTTTTTGTGATTTTGAACTTTTTGAAGGTGTGTTTTGTAATTTTTAAACTTTAATAGCATTTTTTAAAAATTTTAAATTTTACGTTGGGTGCTTGTAATTTTTATATTTTGTGAGTTTAATTTTTTAAGATGTTTTTTGCAACTCTGAAATTTAAAGTTTTTTTTCGCAATTACTAAAATATTGTGTTGTTTTTTGAAAAAATTAAATTTCCAGCAATTTGCTGATAACTTCTAGATTTGATGTCTACCAGTTATAAGTTTTAAAAGTTCATGATTTTTAACTTTTGATGGAGTTTTTGTACTTTTTGTAACTTTAAGATTTTTTTTACAAAATTTAAATTTTCAGTGGTCTATGTTGTTTGCAAGTTTTAAAATCTCTAAATTTTAGGGTGCGTTTTATAATTTAAACTTTTGAGATTGTTTCTGCAATTCCAAATTCCGGGGTATTGTTAATTTTTAGATTTTATGTTTGTTGCTTTAAGTTTTAAAAAGTCAGCATGCTTTGGGTAATTCTAGACTTTTGAAGATATTTTGTGTAATTTTTTTTAAAAAATGGGTTTTTTGTAATTCTTCATGTATTATAATATGTTATCTATGTAGAATTTCTTAATCTTATTTGTTTATATTGTTTAGCTATGAATGGTTCATGTGGAGTTAATATAGGATATAATTAGTATTTGGATAGATTAACATTTAAATAAAATATTCAAAATATTTCATGTAGTTTGTTAATCTTTTTTTTAATTATTGAGCTATTAGGTAGTTCACGTGGGATTAGATAAGATACAATTAAAATTAAAATAGATTAAGATTTAAATAAAATATTTAAAATAGTGAAGGGTAATATTGACTATGGAAAGATTTTTCTGAACTCGTGCTTTTAAAGGGAGTATGATTTTATTCCCATTAGGAGTTGAAGAAAATTTAAAAACCCTATGCGTAGATCAATTTTTAAGAAATGATATTCCTCTTTCAATATTTCTACGTAGATTCGAACATTGTTCTACATTGATTTGAAGAATGCCACTTGGTAGATTATGAGGTTTTAACTAATGCAACCTTGTTTGTAGCTTTGATGCTCTTCACAACTCCAGAGTCTTACTCAGGGACGGACCGTGGTTTCTTAGTCTCACCACGATCATAACTTGTGTAGGAACTTTCGAAGACATCCATGATGAGGCTTTTATTCTTTCCATAATGTTGCTCGCTCCTCCTCTTGGCTAAACTGAATGTTGCATCTAAGATAAAAGTATTTGCAAAGATACACAATCTTGTCTGTAATCAGAAGGCAAGAAATAGTTTTTCAATAATTTCTTCATCTTCACCCATGTTCGAACTAGATCCTTCAATTGACTGCATTGATTCATCACTACTTTGTCCCGCTATGCAGATGCTTTTATTTTTAAGTTGGTTGACCACTAACTTAACCTTCTAATCGTCTAGGATCATCATGTACTCAAAATATCTCTCCATCTTGGCAATCCAATCAAGGAGATCCTTTGTGTGAAGTTTTTCATTGAAGGATAGTATCTTACATTTTCCAGTATCATAATTCTTCCATCTTTTGTAGCCTCTATTATCATCGCAGTTTGATTTATATTGGAGTTAGATCTTGTCTTTAGCGACCATCAACACATCTCAACCTCATCACAGTTCCAAGTGTTTTAATGTCAACGCAAGTTATCTCTTACAACTAACCATGATAACACGGGCATCATCTGTCATTGGACCAGAGAAACAGGACTCTAATACCAATTAATGCAACACGAAAGTGAAAACCTAGGAATCCACCAAAGGGTGTACTATGAATTCACAAAGAACTTTGAATTCATGAAGAAATATTAAAAGATGAATATTACTGATAAAAAGTGACTTGCCCATATAGCGTTCATAATCCTTCTTCTTAAATAGAAAAATAGGTTACTCCTAATAGGAATAGAATTCCTAAGAAAATAGAAAATATAAAAACTAATTCAAAAAAGTCTATGACTGAAGAAAATCAATCGATCAAATTTGAGATCAAACAGAATTCGTTTTCTAATCTAAATAAGATCCTAATTCATTACTGAAAATAACCTGAAAGCTGAATCATTTCAAAATTCTACCAAGTACCGGTACTAATGATGAGATTTCGAGAGTTTGCCAATCTAGTTAGCTCAATGTCACTGAGATGGGCAATTTCATTTATTATGTCTTATTCTACTTTCCAGATTGAGAGAGATTGCATTTTCTTTCGGTCAAGTCAACAATGCGGATTCGCTGTTCTTCGAGATCAAATCAACAATACATCAGTATCCGCGTTTAACTCATGATGATCCTACCAGTGTTTTCAATGCGCAAAGCGCAATGCGGGGCTCAAAGCATCTTTACGCGCACATGCGCAAGGCGTAACGCGATGCGCGCGCCCGAGTGATGCGAAGCGCACACCACACATATAATATTTCAATATATGTAATCAAGCGCGAAAGAACATGTTTTTCGAATTTACATGAAAAATATCATGATAAATAATATCTTGCTACAAAATCACAATATATTGCCTTAATTTCTAATGCTAACACCCAACATAGTAGCAAATTTTATCAATTTTTAAATCAAATGTTAAATCAAGACTTATATCCAAACTAAGGATTAGTAATGGTCCTCAATTGAAAGTTATTAAAAAAACCCAATGGATTTATTTTGCTTTTTGGGATATGGAATATCAAGTATAAAGACTCGATTGAAATGTTAACAAATAAAACTATATGAGGAGATGTACTACATGCATCCTACACAAAGTACAGATGTACGCGAGGCGCAAAAAGCGCTGCTATATCAGATGTGAGGCGTTTCGCCACCGCCCCGCATCGTAAGGCGCATGAGGCGCAATGAGGCGCGCGCCTTTGAAAACACTGGATCCTACTGTCCCATGAATTTTTCCACCATGCGTCGTACATTACTCACCCCCTTTTAGAACGTTTTAGAAAACACTAGGCACTTTTGGGCGCCGGACCAAGCTCCTAATTTCTTTTTGAAGATTCAAAACCATATCCTCGTTGTTTACCCAAGATGGACTTCGATATAGAGTTTTGATTCGATCCATTTTGGCTAAGTCTTTCTCTTCATCTATCACTATGCTTAGGCGAGCAATACATCCCTTTTTGATGTGTGCAGACAACGAAAGCGGTTCATATTTCCCTAGATGTTCCTAAGACCTTGAAGGTAGCCTAAGTACCGCTTAGGCCTAGGCAAGCGCCTAGCTGGGTAGGCAAACCACTTGTTAAGACAATGTTTCAAACATGTTTAGGTCAAGGAGATTCACGGGCCAGTGTAGATCCATGGTTCAACAAGGTTCAATTGCATGTCCACAGTAGGTCTAATAGGTTTGTTACTCATGAACCTGAGTTTTAACATTTATAGCAAGCATGTCTATTGTCCACAACTTCAAATACCACTAATAACAACAATTTAGAGCAATATAATCCAATCACAGAATTTTGTAAAATCTTATACTGAGTCTTGATGTTGATGATGATGATGATGATGATGATGATGATGATGATGATGTGGGAGGGAGAATTTGATTTCAATTTCAAACTCAACAATGAACTCTCATTAGTAGGCAACTTTTGAGTTATTTCATGTTGCTCACTCCTGAGGCTAATCAATTTAGTATCACATTCCTTGTATCCAAATGATCCCAAATTCAATGCATTTATTTTTCTTTATGGGAAACAATTACATGTGATCTCATATATGCTCTAAGTAAAATAAGTAAAAGAGATTCCCGCATTTATACATCGAACAGTATGCAGTAAACTTTCTTAATAATGCAATTATCAGTATAAACTTTTTCAAGGAACAAGTCTAATCCAACAAGAAATATATGTCCTTATCATACAACTGCAATCCTACTAAATATAAGAACTAAGGTCCAAGCTACACAATTTTGATTGAATTTGCAAGACACTTCTAGTGGCATAACGATATCCATCCACTGCCATGGTGAGTTATTATAAGATAAAACGCAATGTATGGTCGATTTTGATTCTCTGAGTAATCTCAAATTTCTTATTCTGAGTAATCCAAACTATGAACTCCTAGTGCATGCTTAACATTAGAAATCATATATTTCCACTTTAGAACCAGCATGATAATGGAAGGTGGGGGGAAAAGGCTTCTAGAGAAAACTCAAACTTACATCAACAGGAATATCGAAAAACAGCACATGCAGCCTCCCATCAACCTCGGTAACAGTCTCGAACGGGATAGACCCCTTCAAAATATCCTCAATCAAATAAAACGCGTCTTTGATGACCCTAATCCCATCAAGATCCAGCTCGGCATCCACGTACGAGACCCCCCTTGCCCTAATCTTCCCTCCATCGGACGTCACAAACCCCAGCCTCCTCCCACGATACCCGATGGAGACCACGATCGAGTTGTAATCGAGAGAGAAGAAGTCCCGATTGCGGATTTTGACGGTGAGGGCGAGGTTGATGTCGAGTTTAGGGTTCGGGTGGGAGGAGACGCTGAGATGGCGGAGGTGGAGGCGGGAGAGGGAGACGGCGGGGTCGGAGGGGAAGAGTCGGCGTCGGCGGAGGTAGGGGAGGAGGATGTAGGTCTGAGGTGGTTCCTGGATAGGGATTCCGTAGGTTGGGTTTTGGGATTGGGCGAGGAGGGGATTGGAGAGCTGGGGTTCTTTGGAGGAGGACGACATTGGTGGAGGGGAGAGCGATTTTGAGCCAAGGATTTTGGGGGAGAATCTTCGGGGTCGGGCTGACCTCTTTTTTAGGTGTTCCGGTCAACCACGGACTTTTGTTTCTCTCGGATTTTTTTGTACCCTTTTCTTCCTCCTCTCCTTGTTACTTAGACCCCAATACAAGTTTATAATTGCATATTCACCAGCATAGATCTTTTTTCCCCCTTATTTGTTTTTGTTTTTTTTTATTTTATGGATGGATGGTTTTTCGGTAGAATTTAGGCTATTCAGCAGTTGCATAGACATAGTTCTCCGTGCTTTGCACTTACATACTCTCACTTGCTTGGTTGCGCTTATGTGCTTTTTAAAGTTTCTTAATTTTGCAATTTAATACATTTTTTTTTTGTTATAAAAATGTGGGGATAATTCTCGAAATTTCTTTTGTGCCCCTTACGTGTTAATTGCTGAACTTTCTAGCTCTTAAGTTTTTTTGTTAAATTTAGTGTTAAATTTATTCGGATTCTATGTTGGATTAGGTTTCTAATAACAAATTTAACAAAAATCAAATGTTGAAACTTCGAAAAAAAATAGAACGTGAGTATCACGACTTACATTAGCATAACAGAAAATATTAAACCACAAACTTTAAAACCTTTTAGGCTACGGATGTTGCAGAAAATAAGTGAGAGTATATCCATGCAAAAATGGCAAAACTCTTAGGTATTTAATTGCTAAATAACCTAGAATTTAACTGGACGTTTAACATGAGAACCGACATATAATCAAACCTCACTTCTTTTGATATTGATTGAAGTCTAGTTTTAGGCTAAAAGGCAAATTTGGTCCCTATTAATATGACCTCAAACTCAAATTGGTCCTACACTTACTTTCTTTTTCATGAACTTAATCCTTGTACATATTGTCAAATAACAGTTTAGTCCTTTTTAAGCTCTCCTCTAAAAGTTCTATTAAAAGTAATATTAGAAAAGACAATATTATCCTCACGTCTCCAAACCCATCAATTTCCCAATCTCCTTCCAAACCACGGGCGTCCCCCTCGGCTAGCGTCAAAAGGGCGGAAGAACACGATGCGTGAGGAGCCTACAACGGGGTAACTTGTGAAACAACAAAAGACATTCACATTTGTTTCTGTTGGACCCTCCTCAATTTTCCAATTTGCAATTTCCACCGTTTCCTTTTCTTTTTTTTTTTTTTTTTTTTGTTCTTTTATGTTGCAAAAATCCATATTTGTAAAAAAACCTGTTCTCAATTTCCACAGTCAAACTCGTTTAAAAATGATAAAGGGTTATAAGGTACGCAAGTTGTTAACATATTTTTAACTACCTGTTTATATATGTTTGGGAAGAGAAACTGCAAAATCAATTTCCTTAAATATTAATACAAATTATATAAAATACAACTTATTCATTATATTCACAGAAGCATGAGAAACAAAAGTAGGAAACAAGAGATGTTATTATTGTTATGACTACAAGCCCCCCTCGCTCTGTATCTATTATATATGATCATCAACAAGGTAAGTAAATTGATGGGGGTGGTGGTTGTTCTTAATAACACCTTTGAGTACTAGTACAATTTTATCTCAAGAGATGAAATGAAACAAAGACGTAGATTTAATTACTTTCAATAAACCTTCACAATGCCGAAACTTTTCACATGAGGAAGTCTCTGAATTGCTGAAATTAGTGACAAATTTTGGAGTTTTAGTGAAGGGTAAACATTTTAGTGCTACCTCCTGAGGGCAGTGTGGTCATAAATGAAAGATTAACTCTCGATTTCTAACGGATGTTAAAAAAGGGACTAAGTTTACATATAAAGACTTAAGTTAAGAAAATAGAAGTACGATGACCAGTTTGAATATGAGGCTCTGGTATAGGGACCAAATTATTCTTCCAGCCCTAGTTTTATTACTTATAAAACCTTGACACCAATGTATATACTGAATAGGAATGGAATGAAGCAAGAAATAAAACGGAATTAATGTAAAAAATGAAATGTCTATTTCCATTCTTATGTTTGAATATAGTTTATTACGGAATAAAGTGGAAATGAACATATTTAGAACTAAAGTATTTTCTATCCACAATGTCCATTCCTTACCATCTCCCGCTCATTTTCGCATAAAAGTGAGAATGAAGGCGAAGTGAGAATGACTGTGGTAGCTTACACAAAAAGAGGTTTTGTTTGACACAATGTATGAGAAGTGGAAATTGTAATTTCATTAATTTCTACTCATTCCTGAGACCTGATATTTTTTTCACAGATATTTTCACTCTATGAATCTGAATTAAATCCCAAGTTTTACTTTCACCAGGGGAAAAATCACAGAGTTTTATGACGTGTAGGTTTTGTAATTATTCTTATCATTTAAATTTCATAAATGCTCGCTATTAACTTGAGCATTAGTATCTTTTGCCCTATTTATGTCTGAAGTATTTGAACTCCAACTGTTAGATAAAATGCGTCAACCAGAAGCAAAGAGGCTTGTGTTTGGCTGTTCAGTGTTGTTTGCTTATATTTTCCTTTTCTTGAATTTTTGTGCCTTCTTTTCTATTGGATTAAATTTTAGCATATATATATATATATATATATATATATATACTATAATATATATATAGAGAGAGAGAGAGAGAGAGAGAGAACACATTGTTTCCTTTCAACATGCACTTTTAAGGGTTAATTAAGGACAGACCCCCATTACTATCGCCCAATTGCAAATAGATTCATGTAGTTCAGCTTGTGGGGATAGACCCCTGAGTGCTTTTTTTTAACACTAAAAAGAGTAAAAAAAAAAAACTTTTTGAAGAGGTGGAAAGATCCCCTTTGGTCCTATTGGTGAGGATGCCCAATTGCTATTTTTTACTCTTAAATGAGTCTGAAAAAGTTCATGAGAGCGTTCATCCCCACTTCGGCAAATAGTACATCGGGTCTATCTGCACAAATAGAGCTACGTGGGTTCTATATACAATTGGGTGATAGTACATAGGTCTATTCGCAGTTAAACCTTTTTTAACACAAACTCAAGAATTCACCTTTACATGGCTTTAAGAGAGTGAAATATAGAATAAGCAAAGTTAAAATTAGACCAATATTAGAAGTTCATAAGCGTAATTACGAATTCATTCTCATCCGCAATATGCATAGTCTGCCACGAATGGCAATGCTCAATATGTATACTTCCTTTGAGTAAGGATCTTTTATCGGGGAAAAAAGAAGGAAAGAAAGAAAGAAGGAAAGATAGAAAATTTATAAAGTATTCATCCAAGTATTTTATTGCCTTGCTAACATACTTATTCGTTTGTGGACTAAAGTGTCGTAAGGCAAAGGTGGAGGATGAAAGGAGACACCGTGGGAGATCAATGACCGACATCACTCGATTTAGTTTTATTTTGGCTCTCTCTCTCTCTCTCCCAAGGGAAGTTCCTATTCTGAATCCCAATGCTCTAAACTGACAGAAATGTTCTCAGATGAGAGTATGAATCTGAACTAAGGAGTAGGCTAAGAGTAGCAGGCAGTTTCAATCTGATATCAGGCAGATAAATCGATTTTCCACCCATTGGCATGTGTAATGCTATTCTGTGATCGAGACCCCATTTCTGATGACTGCATCATGTGAACTAAGATTAGTTTTTGTTATGTCTATATGCACAAACTGAGAGCATTTATTGCATGACAATTTCATCAGGGCGAAAATACACAGTTTTTGCCAGTGCTAATACTATGAGCTTGTGGCTGCAGTCACCAGATCATTTGCAGATTGCCATTGCTTGTGGCTGCAGTCACCAGATAATTTGCAGATTGCCATTGCTTGTGGCTGCAGTCACCAGATCATTTGCAGATTGCCATTGCTTGTGGCAGATAGAGTAGACTGAGGAGTTGTTTACAATTCCTCGTTCTTGGTGAGTGTACGAAATAACTGTACGCTGGAGGCAAGAAGTCAGTTTAGATCTAATAATTTTAGTGATTAAACATTTGATGCCTGGAAATTCTGGAGGACTTCAAATATACGCAAGGCAAAAATTTTGTAGTTTATGGAAGAAACAAACACTTGTTTTTGCGCTCTGTTTACCTCAACAATTTCCAAATCAAACGTTGTTTCATGGATTTTCTTTGTGCAGAGATTCATGGCCTGTTATCAGACAGTATAAATGCTCACCTAATACGTTTATTTTTATTTTTTTTTTTGGTACTTCCAATGTTATGAGTTTTGAATATTGCAAAATATTCAACTTCACCCGTATCTAATAAGCTAACATTTACTATGATTTGACTTATTTCTCAAGTTCTGTGATGTTAAATTTCTTTAGTGCTGTATTTATTTACTCATGTATTAAGGTATTATAGTCTGGTTTTGTTCATAACATCCAAATTCCTCAACATGGCAATTAAAACTGGCTCGAATAAGGTACACACCAAGCGTTTTCATCAGGAAAATAACAAGGGAACATCTACAGAAACTAATCTTAGCCATGATCATGTCTCTTTATCTTCCACATTGGTAACTCCTCTCATGTCTAATTACTTATTTGCTAGTTCTACGAATCTAATTCTCTATTCAGTTTCATGCATTAACTTTCACTTACATCTTCATTTCACAATGCCTTGTGCATGAATCCCTCCATAAAATAGCAAAACAACTAAGCATACATTTTATAGGGCATCTGATATACAAGGTGATCTTTGTGAGTAAATGTTATTTGCAACAAAATGATGCACATCATCCTTTTCGAACATTGAAATTGGACAACATATGGGGTCATTGAACATAGAAATTAAACAGTGCATTCAACCTAATAAAAAATCAACTACTAGAGATTAAGTTAATCAATGTTAAGTATTGGATATCATCATCATGATGGTAAGGCTAGTGTGATCCTAGTAACATCTATCTCTTGATTGCACCTTCATACGAGATGCCTCCCTGCTTTCCCCTCAACATCCGATAGCATATGCAATTTTCTTTAGATTCTACATGACCAGTAGACTTTATCAGTTTAATTTGTGATCTTAAATCTGCATTAAAAAGACACGGACAATTGGGAAGATCAAGAATTAGAGGAAAATATACACGCCATCTGCTTTGATACTATAGTATATTA